AGGGTGGCTATGGATTCACAACTGACTCAACGGCACATAACAACAACAATCTTTATTGGAGTAGATCCCCAGGTCCTTTTCCCTTGGAGCGATTGGTGGGCTCCAACCGCTGACCTTTCAGTTACCAAGTATTTAACTTTTGTGCCACTACTGTTTCTTATTATTAGCTATACTCAATCTTATTATATGTTATACAGCAACTCAGTTATGAATGATGTCACATAATTACAGAGGCTCCATATTGTTTTTGTTAAGAGGTATCACATAACATTGGTTCCATACTGTTGTAAGTGCCACCATGTCAGTTCCAACTCATGGTTTCCGAGGAGTGGCTGGTAAATTTGAACTGTTAGCAGTCCAGTAGTTCATCCTACAGTGTCACACCAGAACTCCACGTTCCATATGCAGAGAGGCCTTTGAAAAATAACTCACAGAAGAAAACAATTTCAACCTGTAATTATAATAAATAAAATCACAAATTTTTATTTTACCTTTCAAAGATAAAATCTGTTCTGTTCATTTAACGAAGATAGTCAAAAGTTGGTATTTGGGGAAAAGGTTTTCAGTATGGAGTGTAAACAATAAACAGAAGATAATAAAAGGCATTATTTAACCAAATCATATGATTTGGTTTCTATTAAAAGCAAAAACTCCACCTGTTTCTGTAGTTTATGTCAAAAGTAATTAATTTAAAAATCATTTATTTTTAAACTTTACACTAAGCTTGGCTTTTTTTTTTCAAACATACCAGTTTTGAGTGTACCAGAAGTATAAAGTAATACACTAATTATCTCTTTACTTCTATAGGTTGCACAATAGGTGGCTACAATCACAAAATTCAAACTTGTCTGAGGATCATGACCACAGATTGTTGTTAGACACAATATTAAACTTTGACAATCCCAAGAAAGGAAGCAATATTTACATATTCAAAAAGTACTGATAATTTATTCACAGAAAAGCAACTATATTGGACATTCTAACAATTTAAAAATAAACCCACAATCACATATTAAGAACATTGGTTTCAAAGATTATACACTCTAGCAAGGGAATAACATGATATGCAAAGGATGATCTCTGAATCTGTCAAGTGATATTAAAATATCAGCGTTCAAACGATCTCTGAGAGAGATTAGTTGCTTCCTTGCTCAAAAATATTCAAAATTCTAAATTTAACAAAGTCCTATTTTTTAACTCTTTAAAGATAGACATTCATTAAATATAAAGAGCTAAATATAACCCTTCCTCAGAAGTCCTGATGTGGTGCTGTAGGATAGGCACTGGACTGCTACTGCAAGGTACCTAAAAGTGATACTGTTCACTTAACTGTTGTTAAGTGCCATCAAGTTGATTACAACTCATAGCAACACTGTACTGGGTTTCCCAGGAGTGGCTGGTGAGCTAGAACCGCCAACCTTGTGGCTCAAACTGACCTTGCATTCTAATGTATTACCCCCCACCCAGTGCCATACCATAACTAACTCTAAATCTTTGGAAATTTAATCCAAAACACAAAGACTAACTAGCAACTGAAGTTAAGTGCTTTATTAAAGTTGAGCAGTCACTCAGGAAACATGTCCCTGAAGTAAGAGCGTAACTCCAAAAGGGAAACACATTTGGTTCAAAGAAAGCAGTCTCCTAAGTTCAAAGGGTATGATGGTTCCTTTGAACATGAGAGACGGTGACTCCAACATTTATGTATATTTATTTACATTTCTAAGTGTGACACAGCTCAACTAACACCAAAACCTAAAGAGAACTCATTGCCATTGAGTAGAGTCCAACTCATGACCACCTTCCTGGACAGAGCAAAACTGCCCACATGGTTTCCAACGCTGTAAAATCTTTACAGAAACAGACAGCCACAACTCTTCTCTCACAGAGCAGCTGGTAGGTGAGTTCAAACAACCAACCTCTAGGGTTAGCAGCCGAGTACTTAACCACTGTGCCACAAGGACTCTTTCGACTAACTGGTACATAAAAAATAGAAAGGGATTTTGAAAATATGAATCATAATAGATAACTATAACCTAAATTAAAAATAATATGAACTGTTCAGATCTTGGCAAGATGTGAAAAAATCCATGTTTCCTGGCTGACTGTAGAGCAGAAGACGTTCTTCCTTTCCATAAACCTTTCTCATGGGCTTATACGAGGAGGTTTATGTCATAGGTTACATGGGGTATTTAACAGGTAAACCCATCAATTTACCAAATTTTGAAAAACTTGAAAGGAAAATAAAATACTACAGAAATTCAAGATTCAAAATTGACACAAATAGTAGAGGTGGTGGTGGTAGTGATGTACCGTGGAGTTGGTTCTGACTCATAGTGACCCTGTATAGGGTTTCCAAAGCTGAAAGTCTTTGCGGGAGCAGAAAGCTCCATCTTTCTCCCTCGGAGCAGCTAGTAAATTTATACTGCCAACTTTGTGATTAGCAGCCAAATCAGTTATTAGTTTCCTAACACAAGTTGTAGCAGATAACAGTGGTGTCGATTATATCAACTCTGGCATGCCAGCTGCAACTCCACACCTTTCTCTCCCAGTCAAGGTGTATCAAAATACAAGTGAGTCAGTAGCAATAAAATGCTAACCTTAAACTTTCTTGAATTTGTTTTCAAAATCAGTCACAAAAGCAAACTATGAATACAAACCACACATAAAGTATTAGTACTTTGTATGAAAATGATGGTGATGTTCTTATGTTGGGATACCAGTTAACAATCATTTTACCAAGGCTTCAGAAAATAAAATTGTATTTCTTCAAGTACAGGGATTAATATAAGGAATTTTAAAGTTAAAGCTGATAAATTTATAAAATTGTTAACAAGGAAAATGAATTATTGACATAATCAGAGATCACAGATTCTTAGCCTGAAATATAGCCTTTGTTGATACCCTCACTTGTATATAAAATACAGACCAACTGTGCCTATTTGAAATGATAAACAATGAGATAAAGAGTGACCTATGAGATGACATTGGAAAGCTGACATGGAGAGTTAGAAGACTGACTGTATCCTAGGGTAAACTAGCAACACCTACAAAAGCCAGAACCTGCATAACCCAGTGGAGATGGAAAACTTAAATATTTTCCACTAATAGACAACAGAAAGTGGAAGACTATCATACAGGTGGAAATTTTACAAGACCCAGAAAATCCAGGCAGTTTCATTGAGTTTCGGCTCTCATAAGGTTTCATTATTAATGCTTAAAAAAAAAAAGCAACAGTAAATTTTTAAGTGTCAGAACACTAACGAGGAAAGTGTATGACTGTACTTTAATGGTCGACATTTAGGAACCATCATCATCTAAACTTTTTCTCAGTGTCTCAATTTGGAGACTTGAGGTTTTATCCTAGAATACGATCTGATTTTATAAGATTTAAATCAAAGAGATACAAGTTTTATTTGACTGTTATATGGAACAGGGATTTCTGGTGTGGCTTTGGAGAATCAGCTCTGGGATGCTGAACCACAAAAGTAGACAGATCAAACCCACACCAGATGCTACTTGGAAATCCAAGTTAGAACTGACTAGATGGCACTTAACAACAATATGGAACAGAGTTGGTAAAAAAATTTTTTGTTAAGGGCCAGATAGAAAATACTTTTGGTTTTGCAGATGACATCCAGCCTCTTGCGTTGTTTTTTGTTTTGTTTTTTTAACAACCCCATAAAAATTTTAAAATCATTCTTAGTTCACTGACTGTGTAAAAACAAGCTGTGCAGGCCAAATTAGGCCATAGTTTGCAGACCCCTGAGATATGGAAGAAAAGCAATTCTCAACTACTAACCCTAACAGAATAACCCCTCTCTTTCCTACTTTAAATTACTTCAGCTCAAATAGGAATTAAAGGTTTAAAGGACTAAAAAGATAAATGAGATAATCTAATTCTCATTTTTCAAGTGACATGCTTATAGCAGTGGACAAATGTTCACTTTCCTCTCCTCCTTCATCCATTTAAAAAATACTAACACTGAAGTTTGAGAATTTCCTCTAAAATAATGTATATTGGATCTTTTCTGTATTCATAGCTCCTAAAATATTTGTTGTCCAGATACTTTTTCTCATACTCTTTTTTTATCATGTTCAAGAAATTCACACCAAAATAATACTCATTAGAAACTTACAGTAATTTTCAATTCATACTGGGCTTACTAGAATGCAGTAAACTACAATATTGTTAACCACCAGGCTGGCTTTTGAGTAGAAGTCTTAATAGAGTGGAGGCGACCACTTATATGACACTGAAGATTGAAAATAAGCAGGACTTAACGAACAACCAATGCCTCTCAATAAATACTTATGGGAAGAGTCCAATCCTATCTGTCTACAATTTTTCTGTTATAATAATATTAAATTTGGAACTGACGCTTATCAGAATTATACAAAGAAAGCAGTCACATTTTCCTTCAAATGGTACAACTAGAGCTTATTCTTTGTACCTGAGTTTTGAGTAGTCTCACACAAACATTTCTGATTGAAAGTCTACTTTTATTATAAATGAAGGGTCTCTAAATCAAAACAGGTATAGTCAGATATTCAAAATGAATTTTCCCTGAAGTTAGAAGTTGAATTTTAAAATTACTTTCTAAAACACCAAAAGCTTCTTTCCTAATTTGTCAGTTCTGAATATTAAGTTTTAAATTTCTTAGAGCCTTTTAAGTTGTTGTGTAAGCCTTATACACTTATACAATAAAACAAAAACTCTTAAGTTACTAGCATTGATAAACCATGTATCACCCACAGTATTTAAGAAATGCCATAATATTAGCAGTTTCTAAAAGATCATAATTCCATCCAGCACAGATTTGTAAAAATTACCATTTTAGATATGTGGCAGTGTTTTCAACACATTACAGCCTCACTTTTCAGGCAAAAAGAATTTGGCTCCTTTATGATTGAAAAACTAGCATGCCCCTCCCTCCTTTATAAAAATGATTAAAGGAAAAATCACTTCTTAGTAGTTCTTAAGTGGCTCCTAAATCTTCCTTTTATTCTACTGTATTTAAAAATTCTTCTTCTTGAAGTTGCAATTTGAAGTCCTCTCTGATGCTTTCAAGCAGCTCTGGTTTAAAAATAACATCCAATGCAGTCATTGCCAGAGCTTTAGCAGTGCGTAAGGTATAGAACTGAGCTTCTTGTGCTCCTAAAAGGTAGAGAACAATAAGTAAGAATATCTCCATATTTACAACAAATTAGTTTACTAATTTCCCAGGTTAGTTCTCATTATCTAATTTGTTTTCCAACTTCCAACCATGATGTAGTATTATCCAAGGCGATGTCAGGTAATGAGATAATAGGCTAAATTAAAAAGTCAGAAAGGCAGCTAGTAGAGAAAGATGGAGAACATGCCAAAACATTCACTTCTGGTAACACTTACCTGCAGCTTCAGTATATTGTTCAGTATGATTCAGGGCACTAGAGCCAATGTAAAAATATGGATGAATTCCAGGAACCACAAAAGTAACATTTCCAAAATCAGTAGATCCTTGAAACAAAGAAAGAGAAGTATATTTGATCACAAATATTTCTGAATTATAAAGTTACAACCAGAATTGTATACTTGGTTATAGTCTATACCCTGTTAGAAGAATCTAGAGAAGTGAACTAGGAAAGCTGTCCATTTGCTTACTATTTCCACTCTCTCACCATCTACTGAGTCCTCAATTCACTCACTCCTCTTCCACCTCCACCAGTCACCAAAGCCCTCACAAGTCACCAAAGATCTCCCCTCACCAGATCTCATGACTCCCTATCAGACTTTACCTTACTTGTCTTCTCAGGAGCACTGCACATCGTAACTCCCTTCCTCACCATCTACAACACAGCACTAGACTGTTTTCCTTCTGCCTCTTTGATGGATTCTTCTTCTATCTCTTTGAGGTACAGCCTCATCTGACCATGAAATATTAGTTACTCCAGATTCAATTCTAGGTTCTTTCCTCTTCTGACTCCATATTTTCTCTCTAGATTTTGTCCATCTTTATTGCTTCCAATTACCAACTCAACTGTATTCCCAGTCTCTCTAAGTCTACAGTTATATATCCAATTGCTAGCTTGATATCGCTTCCTGGATGGCTTCACAGTTAGCATTGTTGTTGGTTGTTGGTAAGTACTGTGGAGTCGGTTCCGACTCATAGTGACCCTGCACTGGGTTTCCAAGGCTGTATATCTTTACAGGAGCAGAACACATCATCTTTCTCCCGTGGAACCGCTGGTAGTTTTGAACTGCTGACCTTGAGGGTTGGCAGCCCTACTCGTAACCATGACGCTACCAGAGCTCCTTTCACAGTTAGCATAGCCAACATTAAACTCATGATCCTCCTGTTATTCCACCCCCACCACACCTGGTCTTTTCTCTAAATCCAGCTACTCTCTTGTCAACCGTAAACCAAACCCAGCTGCCATCTAACCAATTCCGACTTATGTGTGTCAGAGAAGAACTGTGCTCCAAGGCTATTCAGCAGCCAATTATTTTGGAAGTAGATCACCAGGCCTTTCTTCTGAGGTGCACCTCTGAGTGGATCTGAACCTCAACCTTTTGGTTAGCATTTGACCACATTAACTGTTTGCAACACCCAGGGACTCTCCTATCAATAAACTTTCCAAATACCTCGTCATCAACATCTATGCCTAATCAGTCTGAGTCATCATCATCTCTTGTCTAATAGTTTCCTAATTGGTCTAGTAGTGTCTACTCTGTCTGCCTATAATTGCTCAATTTTTACATGATCTACAAGCTTTATGTGGCTGATTCTATTCAACTTTCCAACCTAATCTCATACCATATCACCGTTTACCTTCTATACTTAAGACACTTTGAACACTCATCATACTGCCCTTGACCCAAGACCTCTGGACATGCCCCTTCTTCCCACTTTACCTACTTAATTCCTATTCACCCTTAGATATTATTTTAGGCTTTCTGAAGCAAGTCTTATTTCACCTTCTTGGTAAGGTCTAATTCTTTACGTCAGTATAAACTCTCACAGAATTTACTACATGCCTTCATGATATTTTTCAGTTTTAGTTTTTCTTTTATTGGATTACTTGGTTAAACTCTGTCTTCCTAACTAGATGATTAAGATCTACTAAGCCTAAAATAGTACTTAAAGCCACTGTGAATATGGTCTGGCATATGACTGACAAATGCTGAATCAATAATAGTAAAAATAATGCATTACGCTCACCCAATAGGTTTTTCCTGAATTCTTACTATGTGCCAAATGTGGTGCAAGGCAAAGTTAGACAATAAAGGAATAAGTAGTGAGGGTATAAATACACAAAATAATATGTAACAACAGCTAACATTTTGCTAGAATTATCATGCTGCAAACAAAACATTTTATGTGTATTCACATTAATATGTTGAACAATTTCTACTTTATGTTGTTGATAAGCGCCATCGAGTTGGTACCAACCCATAGCAACCTTATGCATTGCCTGATCCTAGGCTAACCTCACCCCTGTTGCCATCCATCGATGCGGTCACTTGTCCAATCCATCTCTTTGGGGGATCGTCCTCTTTTTCTCTGACCCTCCACCTTACCAAACATATCTTTCTTCAGTGACTGGTCCCTCCTGACAATATGTCCGAAGTATGAGAGACGAAGTTTGGCCATCTTGGCCTCCAAAAAGCACTCTGGATGCACTTATTCCAAAATGGATCTATTGGTTCTGTTGGCAGTCCATGGCACTTTCAATATTCTCCTCCAACACCATAACTCAAAAGCATCAGTTCTTCTACGGTCTTCCTGATTCACTGCCCAGCTTTCGCATGCATATGAGGTCATTGAAAATACCATGGTTTGGGTCAGGCGCACCTTAGTCCTCAAGCTGACATCTTTGCTCTTCAACACTTTAAAAAGGTCTTGTGCAGCAGATTTGCCTAATGCAATACGTCGTTTGATTCCTTGACTGCTGCTTCCATGAGTGTTGATAGTTAATCTAAGAAGAATGAAGTCCTTGACAACTTCAATCTTTTCTCCGTTGATAAGTATGTTGCTTATTGGTCCAGTGGTAAGAATTTTTGCTTTCTTTACATTGAGATGCAATCCATACCGAAGGCTGTGCTCATTGATCTTCATCAGTAAATACTTGAAGTCCTCTTCACTTTCAGCAAACAGGGTTGTATCATCTGCATATCGCAGGTTGTTAATGAGTCTTCCTCCAATCCTGATGCCACGTTTTTCTTCATAGAACCCAGCTTCTCAGATTATTTGCTCAGCACACAGGTTGAATAAGTATGGTGAAAGAATACAACCTTGTCACACACCTTTCTTAATTTAAAAATATTCAATGTTGGTTCTGTTCAAACAACTGCTTCTTGGTCCAGGTACAGATTCCTCATGAGCACAATTAAGTGTTCAGGAATACTCATATTTCGCAAAGTTGTCCATAGCTTGTCATGATCCACACAATCAAAAGCCTTTGCGTAGTCAATAAAGCACAGGCAAACATCTTTCTGAAATTCTCTGCTTTCAGCCAAGATTCATCGGACATCAGCAATGATATCCCTCGTTCCAAGGCCTCTTCTGAATCTGGCTTGAACCTCTGGAAGTTCACTGTCTATATATGATTGTAGCCGTTAATGTATTACCTTCAGCAAAACTGTACTCGCATAGGATATCAAAGAGCTTGTCCGATGATTTCCACATTCCATTGGGTCACCTCTCTTTGGAATGGGCACATTTATGGATCTGTTTCAATCAGTTGGCCAGATAGTTATCTTTCAAATCTCTTGGCAGAGATGAGTGAGTGCCTCCTGTGCCACCTCACTTTATTGAAAGATTTCAATTTTTATTCCATCAATTCCTGGTGCCTTGTTCTTTGGCCAATTCATACAATGTACCTTGGACTTCCTTCTTCAGTATCATTGGCTCTTGATCATATGCTACCTCTTGAAACGTTTGAACATTAACCATTTCCTTTTGGTACAGTGACTCTGTTTTTCTTCCATCTTCTCTTGATGCTCTCTGCATCATTCAATAATTTGCCCAGAAAATCTTTCCATAATGAAAATCGAGGTTTGAATTTCTTCTTCAATTCCCCCAGCTTGAGAAATGTTGAGCGTGTTCTTCCTTTTTGGTTTTCTGATTCCAGATCTTTCCACATTTTGTTGTAAAATTTGGCTTTATCTTCTCGAGCTGATTTTCGAAATTTTCTGTTCAGCTCTTGGACCTCCTCATTTCTTCCATTTGCTTTAGCATCTCTATGCTGGAAAGCAAGTTTCAGGGTCTCTTCCGACATCCACTTTGATCTTTTCCTTCTTGTCTTCTCAATGACTTTTTGCTTTCTTCATATATGATGTTCTTGATGTCATCCCACAACTCTTCTGGTCTTCAGTCTTTAGTGTTTAATGTATCAAATCTGTTCTTCAGATGATTTCTAAATTCAGGTGGTATATATTCAAGATCATATTTTGGTTCTCATGGACTTGTTTTCATTTTCTTCAGATCAGTTTGAATTTGCATATGAGTAGTTGATGGTCTGTTCCACAGTCTGTCCCTGGCCTTGTTAAGACTGATGATATGGAGCTTTTCCATCGTCTCTTTCCACAGAGGTAGTCAATTTGATTTCTATGTAATCCATCTGGTGAGGTCCATGTGTAAAGCCATCTCTTATGCTGTCTAAAGAAGGTATTTGAAATGAACAAATAATTGGTTTTGCAGAATTCTATCATGCATTCTCCAGCATCATTTCTCTCATCAAGGCCATATTTTCCAACTACTGATCCTTCCTCTTTGCTCCCAACCTTTGCATTACACTCACCAGTAATGATCAATACATCTTGATAGCAACTTTGATGGATTTCAGATTGAATAAGTTGGTAAAATTCTTCTATTTCATCCTCACTAGCTTTAGTGGTTGGTGCGTAAATTTGAATAACAGTGGTATTAACTAGGCGTCCCTGTTGTTGTTAAGTGCCATTGAGTCGATTCTGACCCATAGCGACCCTGTGTAGGGTTTGTGAGGAGCGAATGGTGAGCTTGAACCGCCCACCTTACAGTTCAAACAGCTTTGCAGCCTGGTGCATTAACCCACAGCGCCACACCAGTTCTTCCCTGTAGGCGCATGGATATTATCCTATCACAGACAGCGTTGTACCTCATGTCTGATCTGGTTATGTTCTTTTTGACAATGAATGCAACACCATTCTTCTTCAATTTGTCATTCCCAGCATAGTAAAGCAAGTGGTTGTCCAGATTCAAAATGGCAAATACCAGTCCATTTCAGCTCACTAATGCCTAAGATATCAATGTTTATGCATTCCATTTCATTTTTGACAACTTCCAATTTTCCCACATTCATACTTTGTACATTCCATGTTCTGATTTTCAATGAATGTTTACAGTTGTTTCTCTTCAGTTTGAATTGGGCCCCATCAGCAAATGAAGGTCCCGTGGGCTTTTCTCCCATGGACTTTACTTCACTCGCATCATCATGGTCAACTCTACTTTGAGGAGGCAGCTCTTCCCCAGTCACATTTTGAGTGTTTTCCAACCTGAGGGGTTCATTTTCCAGCACTATATCTGACAGTGTTTCTCTGATATTCATAAGGTTTTCAGTTGACTAAATATTCGGAAATAGTTTCTCACTCTGTCTTCCTAGTATGTCTTTGTCTGAAAGCTCATCTGAAACATGTGCACCATGGGTGACCCTGTTGGTATTTAAAATACCGGTGGCATAGCTTTCAGAATCACAGCAACTCACAGTACGACAAACTGACTACTTTATAGTAACATGGAATACCCAAGGTTTACAGATACAAAATAACTTGGCCCCAATTTCATAACTACTAGTTAAAAGTAAAGCCAGGCTGAAGTTAGACTTTGAGGCCAAGCACTGTGGCCTTCATGAAAATACACTGCTTCAGGAAATAGTTCACTAATAAGCTCTTAACCAAGCCAGAAATAGCTCCAGACACTGAGAATACAGTGGTTATGGTATAAAAGTACACAGGACATAAGCATATGAATGCCTACTACATATTTAAAGATATTACTTTTAGAGCTAGACCTTTGCACCTACAAAACATACCCAAATAATAGTCCCTTTATTCTACTGTTTGTCCATTACATAAAATCCAAGCCCTAAGGAGATCTCACTGCACTTCCCTCCTACAGCTAGACCACAGAAACTAGTTAGGGCAAAATACATAATCACGAAGATTAACATTACAACAAATTTGTGGTCTTTAACTTCAGCTGGAACATATTTGATGCATTAGACTCTAAACTGAAGACCAGAAGAGTTGTGGGATGACATCAAGAACATCACATAGGAAGAAAACAAAAGGTCACTAAGAAAGATAGAAAACGCCAAAATGAATGTCAGAGGAGACTCTGAAATTTACTATCAAGTAAGGAGCTCTGGTAGTACAGTGGTTACGAATCAGGCTGCTAATCTCACAGTCAGCAGTTCGAAACTACCAGCTGTTCTGAGGGAGAAAGATGAGGCTTTCTGCTCCCGTAAAGATGTACAGCCTCAGAAACCCTGTACAGGGTCACTATGAGTCGGAACCAACTTCACGGCACCTAACAACAACCAATAGAGATGCTAAAGTGAATGGAAAAATTGAAAAAGTCAAGGAGCTAAACAGAAAATCTCAAAGGGCAGTTCAAGAAAACAAAGTCAAGTATTAATAATGAAAAATGCAAAGACCTAGAGTTAGAAAACTAAAAGGGAAGAATTCACTCAGCATTTCTCAAACTAAAAGAACTGAAAAAAATTTTCAAATCTTGACTTGCAATATTGAAGGATTATGGGCAAGAACAGGAGTTCTGTTGTGGCGCTGTGGGTTTATGTGCTGGATTGCAAAGTTTTGAACCTAAAGGTTAGCAGTTCAAGCTCACCAGCCACTCCTCAGAAACCTTATACAGGGTCACTATGGGTCTGAATTGACTCAACAGCACTTAACACAACAACAATGGGCAAAATATTGAATGATGCAGAAAGCATCAAAAAATGATGGATAGAGTTATATTACCAGAAAGAAATGGCTGATGTTCAAACATTTCAAGAAGCATTCAAACAGAAAAAAGGGATACTGAATGGTTTAAAATCAGGAAAGGTATGCACCAGGGTTATATTTTTTTCATCATACTTATTCAATCTATCTGCTGTGCAAAGTGGAGATACTAAATTATATGAAGAACATGGCATCAGGAAGGCTCAGTAATAATCTTCAACATTACAACTCGAGGCTTGAATCTTTTTTCAGTTCTTTCAGCTTGTGAAGGCTGAGCTTGCATTTTCTAACTCTAAGTCTTCGCACGTTATACTACTTTGTCTTCTGGTCCCCCATCATTCCTTCTATTTACATTAGCTACTATATGTTCAAGAGCAAGTTTCAGAGTCTCTTCCCACATTCATTTTGGTCTTTTCTTTCTTTCCTGTCTTTCATACTTTGGGCATGTTATCAGGAGGGATCAGTCCCTGGAAAGGGACATCATGCTTGGTAAAACAGACAGTCATTTATAAAAGGAAGACCATAGTGAGATGGAATGACACAGTTACCACATCAATGTGCTCAAACACAGTAACAATTGTGAGGCTGGTGCAAGAGCAAGCAGAGCTCCATTCTGTTGTGCACAGGGCCACTGTGAGTTGGAACTTACTCGAGGGCATCTAACAAATAAACAAACTATTAAGTGTGTGAAAATCACTGTGAAGATCAGTAATCGCCATCCCACCACCAGCTTCCCAAGTCATTAAACAAAACCATTTAACCAAAGACAGTATTTTCTCTTCTTCAAACAGCTCAATGCTTGTTTAATGAAAGAACTTTACCTGATAAATTTAATGAAAGAAATTACCTGATGGAGTATTCAACATTCCACCTTCTGAAATGAATTCTATTCCCAGTTTCGTCCCATTTTCCATGTACGCTTTCCATAGACTTTTATTGGGAAGAACATTGTAATAATCATGTGCTCCATCTTTAATTTCTACCTAATAAAAATTATAAAACAATTTTAAAATAAAAATTCAAACTGTTTAATTTTCTAACCAGTAATTTATCTTTGACAGAAAGTGGTTTTAAGAGGAAGCACTTCATTTCTGGATATAAATTTGCTCCAATCTCTTACCTTAATAAAATATAGGATTTTCTATAGCAAGACTGCCTAGACCATCTCTCCTTTATGTTATATATGTACCCAAACCTCTCAGCTAAATACAAGGGGGCTTCAAATTTCCCATTATCCTTTAATCCTATTTTTCCATGAACTTTCTGAAGCTCCTATCATAGAATGTGGGGTAGAGTTCAGAACTCTTCATTTTAAGCAGCACCCCTAAATAATTCTAAAGCAAGTGGTCCAAAAATCACTCTGAAGAACACTCATCTGGGCTGTAGCCTCTAAAAGATATTCAGAGTCACTATGTTACAAATTGGGCTGCTAACCTCAGGGTCAGCAGTTCGAAACTACCAGCAGTTCTGCAGAAGAAAGATGAGGCTTTCTGCTCCCGTAAAGATTTACAGCCTCGGAAACCCTGTGCAGGGTCGCTATGAATTGGAACCGACTCCATGGCCCATCACATCATCATCATCTTGAGTCGGAAACAACTTGACAGCACTTAACAATAAGGAGCTCTGGGAGCGTAGTGGTTATGAATCGGGCTGCTAACCTCAAGATCGGCAGTTCGAAACTACCAGCTGTTCTGCAGGAGAAAGATGAGGCTTTCTGCTCCCGTAAAGATTTACAGCCTCAGAAACCTTGTGCAGGCTCACTATGAGTTGGAACCAACCCCACAGTACTTAACAACAATCATACTCAATATGGAATCCTGGTGTAATGATATAGGATAAGCACTGGACTGCTAACTGCAAGGCTGGCAGTTCAAACCCACCAGTCACTCCTCAGAAATCCTCATATAAGGTTGCTATGACTTAGAAGAAGAGTCGACAGTACTTAACAATATTCAATATAGAGAATGTGGTGTTTTAGGATAAGTACTGGATTGCAAACCAAAAGGTCATCAGTTTGAGCCTGCTAGTCATTTCTAAGATGAGGCTTTCTTGTCCCGCAAGATTTACAGGTTTGGAAACCCTATCCAGGGTTGCTATAAGTCAAAACTGACTCAATGGCACTTAGGAACAATAATATTCAATATACAAAGTGCCAACGACACCACTGCCTGCTCTGAAAGGCATAAAAGTTCCCTGAGATTAAGAAATTTTATGATGAAGGGTTGCAATAGTCCAAATTTATTCATTTCAGCATATTAACACATACAGCAAAACCAAACTCATTGCCATTGAGTTGATTATGACTCATTTGTTATTGTTGTTGTTAAGTGCCACTGAGTCGGTTCCGACCCATAGCAACCCTGGATAGGGTTTCTGAGGAGCAGCTGGTGAGCTTGAACCGCCAACCTTGCAGTTCAAACGGCTTTGCAATCTGGCGCATAACCCACAGCGCCACACCAAACAGCTATCCCATAAGGTTTCCAAGGATATAATCTTTATGGAGGCTGAATGCCACAATTTTTTCCTTCAGAGCAACTAATGGGTTTGCTTAGTAGCCAAATGCTTAAACCACTACACCACCAGGGTGTAGATTTGTGCCCAGTTAAGTGGATTTACAGGTCTAGGTTTTGATTAAATGAAAATGGGCAAGATTCCCTCAAATTAAATACCAATAACACAAGCAAAAGTCAATCATAAAATAGTTGTTGTTGTTATGTGCCATGGAGTCAGTTCCAACTCATAGTGACCCTGCACAGGGTTTCCGAGGCTATAAATCTTTATGGGAGCAGAAAGCCTCATCTTTCTCTCGTGGAACAGCTGGTAGTTTCAAACTGCTGACTGTGAGATTAGCAGCCCGTTTCTTAACCACTACGCTACCAGAGATGAGATTTCTCCTATTCCTAGAAATACCTACAGTGGCAATGATAACCTAATCGGATTCTTACAAATCAAACTATAAGACAGTATTAAAAGACTATTTAAAAAAGACTTAAACCCATGGTAATGTACAATAAATCTTACCATAAAGGAATATAGTTTCTTGAGATATTAGCTAGTGATAGTAGTTCACGTGTTTTATAAATACTATTTATAAGTAAGAAGATGGATGCTTAATTTTTCACTGCTCTAGGCTACAGGAATCTTCATAGCACTCATATACTAAATCTGCACCAATAGTCTACAACCTTGTTCTTACGTTTGCCCATAAACAGTGAAACTTGTGAGGGCCAGCAGCTGACAGCATTGTCTTGTTTTCCATCTCTGACAGGGTGCAGTCTTAACACTTTCCTATTACTTATTTTAGTGAGAAATGTTTGCGGTTTCCTTCTCTGGCACAAGTTTCCGTTTTCACGGTATTTATCTATTCACTGCACCAGACTATGAGCTTTAACATTCCTATCTTTTCTCACTCCATTCCCTAAGAGAGCTTACACTCTATCCTCCACATCTGAAAGTATGAACTCCTTCAAAGCACAATTTAGATCTATAGAATTACATGAAACCTTTGTCTTAACAGCCCAGACAACCTCTTTCCTGCCTCTGACTCACCATGGCACTTACTACTATTTATACAAGTCTTTGGACACTTGACATATGCTGAGAATCACAGCTACTATGAGATATTGGTACTAACCTCATTAAGTCACAAATCTCCAGTAGAAAAAAATAAGGTGATATGTATGAGGGCTTGCTACACTAAATTCTTCACAAACATTATTTTATTTAATCCTCACAAGAACCCAAAGATAAACTGCATTACTATTACTATTCAATTGGAGTCCTGGTGTGGCAAGGTTGGCAGTTCAAATCCACCAGCTGTTGCTTGAAAACCCTATACAAGGTCGCTATGAGTTGGAACCGACTTGATGGCACTTAACAATAACACTATTCAATTACAGTACTATAACTAATATTACTATTAAAGTGAAAATAAGGAAGCCCAGATATGTTAAATGTTTACAAAGGTTGTATACGCAGCAGGGCTGAGAGGCACTTGTCTCTCCAACTAGACTACTGGTTCCCAGAGGGCAAGAATCACGTTACATAACACTGAAGCTTCCCATGCCACCGCTTTGAATGCACGACTGGTATATAAAGAAGTGACTGATTTTATGGTTCCTATCAACACACACTGTTGTGTGTCTATTTTAACTTCTATTCCAATATGGCTTGAGTATTTATTTATAGCACTATTACACATATCTGTAATTTTACTAAAAATAGCTTTACTTGACTTTGCCATAAAGTTCCCTTTATAGGAACTCTATAGAGCAATTCTAAAATTAATAGGGAAAGGTATAATGTACAAATAGGAAGATGCTAGCACAAGAATATAAGAATTATTCTAATACTGAATAAGTTAAGACTACCAGTAGTCTTCTCTACTAAAGGCATTGTATAAAATATATTAAAGTATGTGTGTGTATGTATATTTATCAACCAGCAGATTTTACATTCTTAAGACATCATCAAATAAAAAAGATGCAGGCACGATTTTAATCAAATTGAATACAAACCACCCCAGTTACTTATATACCTCTGATTATAGCTTAAATAAACTCTTAAAAGTTCTTACTGTGCACCCCGTAGCCAAAGCTGCAGCTCTGAAGCAATCTTCTGCCTTTTTGGTCAAAACTGGAAGTTCTTTCATTGAGGGTGCACGGAGGTAATAGGTTAATTCAGAATAAGAGGGAATGATATTGGGTTTTATACCACCATTTTTTATTATACCTATAAAGAGAACCAAATTACTGGAATTAAGCTCAAAGATCATTTCTTTAAGTTTAAATATACCCATAAAGTTTTCCAGCCAATAACACTAAGGAAAAATTATTTAAACTTATTAGCTTCACAGAAATACTAAGCAAATATTTTAATGCACTATACAACCACACATAGGGTGATACTTTCTGGCTAAGAAGAAAAAAGTTTTCTATATGTATTTCATTCTAAGGAATTTCTACACGAAGATATTAAGATTCTATATTATAAAGAACCTTTAGAAATGTATATTACTACAAAAAATGAACTAGCTTTCTGAAGACATTTCAATAATCTTTATTACAATTCTATAGTTTTATAAACTTTTGACATTAAAAAACAAAACCAACAACCAATCAGTGATATGCGATTCTTTAATCCCTTTGTACCTCAATAATCCCATCAATGTTTTAAATGACATTTAGTTTAGGAATGATTTTTAGGCCAAGAAAAAAGCAATGCAGGTCAAAGCTCACTTAGCACAATCAACTATCAAAACAAATTTCTGTCTTTGGAACTACACTGAGAATGAAGAGTCATCCTACAGCGCCACACTAGGGCTCCTACAACATATTGTTGTTTCTGTTGTTGTTAAGTGCCGTGGAGTCAGTTCCGACCCACAGTGTATAGGATTTCCAAGGAGTGGCTGGTGAGCTTGAACCATTGACCTTGCAGATTAAGCAGACCTTGCAGTCCAGCACATTAACCCACAGAGCCATTCCAGGACTCTGAACTACTAGGCAGCATTTATTACACAAAATACTTGACATTCGTACCATGAACTCTCCAGGTTGGTTTCATTTGTTGTCTTAACACAGACAGATTGTTGTAAGCGAGAACAGCAGCATCTAATGCATTTACGCCTTCCCAGGGGTAAGCAGCAGCATGAGATGCTTTTCCATAGTATTTCACAGTCATACTAGGAAATAAAAACATCATTTAAAATTGCTTTTTCATTGTCAATAATTTTTTTTAATCCAAGCAGTCAGAATTACCCCTTTTAATTCAAAATAATTCACATGGCTAGACATTAGATTTGCACATCATTTATAATAATCATATTGTTGTTGTTGCTGTTATTATGTGCCGTCGAGTCAGTTCCAACCCATAGCAACCCTGAACAGGGTTTCCGAGGCTGTAAATCATTACAGGAGCAGAAAGCCTCATCTTTCTCCTGCGGAGCAGCTGGTAGTTTCAAACTGCTGACCTTCCAGTTCCACAGCCCGATTCGTAACCACTAAAAGAGACAACTTTGTTCAATATACTTCCTATACAGATTAAATTGGTAGATGATTCAATTCAATTCAAATCACACAAACAAGCAGTACTTTGTTAGGAGTTGGAATTATGAAGATGGTCAAAACCAGCTGCCATTGAATCAATTTCAACTCATGGTGACCCCTTATGTGTCAAGACAGAACTTTGCTCCATAGAGTTTTCAATGGCTGATTTTTATGGAAGCAGACTATTAAGTTTTTCTTCCAAGGTATTTCTGGGTAGACTTGAACTGTCAACTTTTAGCTAGGTTACCAGCTGACGATGTTATCTACTTGTACTCAGAGCTTTGGGTACCAGCATAACTTAAACCATCCCTAAAACCAAAGTTGAAACTTTCACTGTATCATAGTACCAATTCCTGGTGATAAAAACAAAGAACGGTTAAAATCATTACCCTTTGAAGACAAACCTGGTGAATTGTGGAGTCATACAAAGTAACCGACTACCATCTAGAAGCATTGCTGGCTACAACAGAAAGCTCTGCAATCCTTGCCAGCTGCTGCAGAGGTGAACATGTGATTTTCTAGAAGCAGTTGAGCAGTGAATCCTTCTGATTGGACCACTAACTGGACCATTAACTATTATGATTGAAATTTCTATAAAACTTTCAAACTACCTCAGTGAGGTACCAAAGAAAGTGAGCTCTTCAACACACAGAAAGATAAATAAAAGGTTTCAACCTCAGGCAAATTAAAAAATAACATATTGACAAGTTGCACTAAAGTCCACAGTTCCCGGGTTCTGTATTCTCTCTTAGAAATAATACTTTACACGTTTTGCAAAGAACTCAAAATAAAATGAAGACATGTACTTTCTTCCTAAGTCTAAGAGAGCTGTCTTTCACAGTTCCATGTCAAAAGCTAGCTATTTCCAGAAACAAAATTACTCTGAGAGTTTAAATAGAGCATGGTGGTGGTGGTGGTGTGCCATGGAGTCAGTTTCAATTCATAGCGCCCCTGTATAAGGTTTCCGAGGCTGTAAATCTTTACAGGAGCAGAAAGCCTCATTTTTCTCCTGCAGAACAGCTAGTAGTTTCAAACTGCTGACCTAGGGTTAGCAGCCCAATTCTTAACCACTTATGCTATCAGACCTCTTAAATAGAGCATAAATATCCATATATTACTTGATATTTCTAAGCTTTTTAGATACTATGTTAATACTCCAATGATAAATGCCATAATAAATCTCAATTAAAAGAGGCTTGACAAAAACAGAACAAAGGATTTTTATTTCCTGATCTCAAAACCTACTACATAGCCACAGCAGTCAAAACAGACTGACTGGTTGGTACTCGTACAATGAAAAACACACAGATCAATGGAATAGAATTTAGAACCCAGAAGTAAATCTATTTTCCTACAGTCTGCTATCTTCAACTAAATGTCAAAATGCATTAAATGGAGAAGAGATAGTCTCCCTTAACAAATGGTGCTGGCAAAACTGGAAATCCATTTGCAAAAAAATGAAACAAGACCCAATATCATACCATATACAAAAATGAACTCAATGTGGATCAAAGATCTAAATGTAAAGCAGAGGAAAGATGAAGGTTGTTAGCAGCCCAATGCCTGACCCAAAGCACCACCAGTATAAATTAAAATTAGCATTATTTTAGTACCATTTATTTATCCCACTACACTATTTAAAAATCAGAAAACAAAATAGGGAGACATAGGGAGGCATACAAGAGTTAAAGTGCACAGAGGGAAATACTGTTAACTGATGGTACATGGGGAGATTGCAATCATTGTAATGAAGCAAAGTATATGATCTGATGAATGTAAAACTGATGATCTGTTCTGTAAACCTTCACTCAATTCACAATGAAAAGTTTAAATAAAAAAAAGAGATTTGACAAATGACACTCAATGGCAAACAAGACTTCATACATTTCAAATTACTTGATAAATGAATAAATACGGCGTTTCTTCTTTAGTTCAAGCATGTTAAACACTCTGTGGTCTCACTGTCACTAAGAAGTTTATCTTTAACTTGACTACTTACTCATGTTCAGCCACATCAGGTAGATAAGCAGCATTCTCTTGGGAAGGATGGGCCATAAAAACAACATCAAGATTTTCAAAAGCCCCCGCTTTGATTAAATCAATTTTGCCACCACCATCTTCTTCCGCAGGGGTTCCCAGGACGACAACCTAGAAGGAAATACTCTACTCGTGTCAGAGCAAAACAGCAAAACAGAAACTATAGTCGGAAAAATATCCAACAGGCTCATCAGCATATGTATTCGCAATCTATGTTAATGCCCTTACACTATAGAGAAAGGTTTTTGCTTTCTGATAGTTAAGTAATGCAGTGGGATAAATAAATGGTACTAAAATAAAGCAAATTTTAATTTACATTGGTGGCACTGTGGGTCAGGCATTGGGCTGCTAACCACTGTGGGTCAGGCAGTGGCTGCTAACCACCAGCCACTCCAAGATAGTCTCAGAAACCTTTTATGAGTAGAGATTGACTCAATGGTAGTGGGTTTTATCTTATTTCTTAAAGTTTCTTGACTAAGCCTTTCAATGTATGTATGTATATCACTATTAATAAGCATTTTACTGGTAAGGAATTTTACAGTTGCTTATTAGTTAGCCTCACAACAACCCTGTGAGGTAGGTGAGCAATCTGCATCATTTTAGGGAGGATGGTTTTCAGGCATGAGTCAGAACTGATTTGGTTTTTGGTATGGAGGCACAAAGGAGAAGTGTCTTGCCCTAGGTCACAGAGTAAGTCTTCAGGCAGAGCTGGGATTAGAACTCAGATATCCTGACCTTAAAGCCTGAACTCTGATTCCGTATTAAACTACCTTATTCAAAAGTTATTACCCATTAATCCTTTATGAAGAACATTAAACAAATCTTAATACTACGATCAGAAACGACCAACTATTACACAAACTTACTAATTCGATTCCACCAGTTCAATCAGGCAGACTTATTGGTCACCAAACACCTAATTAAACAAAAGAGAACTTTACAGAATAAATATTTTACTTTGATAGTTAAGCTTAACTTCTTCAAACAATTTTTTAAAAGCAAAGGAACATTACAACTAATAAACTTTTAAGATCATGTATAAGAACACAATGAAACACGCTGGAAACGGTCTTGGCTTGCAAAAAGAATGAATATAAATTCCATAACCTTGCTAAAACTGAGAATAAACCATTTGAAATTAGATGTTTGTACATTTCCCAAAATATTTTTCTTTAAGAAGTTACAAAGAAAGCACTCAGGCTCTTAAATTAAACTGCTCTTTATTCTTAACCTTTGACTCATTAACTATGCTGTCTCTTGCTGATTTCTCAGAACCTTCCAGGAACCAGGTTAAAGTTAAATCGCTCCAGTATTTCATGCAATGGCAAAGAAGAGCCCCACCCAAACAAAACAAAAACCTAATCAGATGCAAAAACAAACCCCAGAGGCAGGAAAGAGTCACAAAAGGATGACATTGTTAGGATAATAAAAAAGGTTACTGACAATGAAAAAAAATGTCTAAAAATCATTAAATAAAATATTAGTCTTCCCTTTAACCTGAATGGTGATGACTGAATCTTAGCTCACAGAATGAAGAATATACCATCTGGAAAAACAGAGTAACACAAGATTAAGCTTGCCCTATGACACACATAAACATTTTCCCGTTTAAAGAATCAAGGTATTGCTTAAAAGTTATGAAACTAAAATTAAGATTTAAGGATGAACTCATCTATGTAGCAAATGCTAACTTCCTCATTATTGGTATTTTAGAGGCTTGGCCGGTCCTAGCTACTGGAAATTTCCTATCCAGATACCATATATTTGAATCACAACATCTTGTGTGACAGCTCCAAAGGATTTGAGGAAACCTAATAAAGAGAGGTTGTAGATTTCCCTACAAAAATTACTTCCTCTGGTAGCGTAGTGGTTACGAATCGGGCTGCGAACCTTAAAGTCAGCGGTTCGAAACTACCAGCCGCTCCGCGGGAGAAAGATGAGGCTTTCT